TACATTAGTAGTGGGCTGCCTGTTATCCCCTGAGACAGATTTCCGGGTTTCTATCTGGATCCTCTCACATTCCTCAGTGGTGAATAAAATCTGGAGGAGTTGTCGACAATCATTCCAGGTAGGCTGATGAGTAAACAAAATAGTCTCTAGGAGGTCAGTTAAATTTCTGGGACTGTCTGAAAATTTAGCATTCTGAGTTTTCCAATTATACAGGTCACTAGTGGTAAAAGGCCAATGGTGAAGTTGCTGATTGCCAGTTGCGTCTGCGGGCCCTGCAGCCCGCAACGGCAAGACAGTGGAGTCTGCTGGTGCACTAGAGAGGGCTGCACGCTGCTTTCTTCCATTGCCGGCTGCCGGACCTGCGGCTGCCATTGCCCCGCCGCCGTCCAGCACTTGGGGCAGTGCACCCTCTCCAGCTGCAGTACCTGCTGAAAGGGTTTGATAAGGAGGGGGAAAAAGGAGTTCTTTTTCCGTCCCACCCTGAAAGACTGGGTAGGTCGGTGCCAAAGGTTAGACTTCAGGTTCTTTCTTCAGCAGTTTTTCTAGTAACTGAAGCATGCAGTATGTGCTAAAGTTTCTTGTACTAATGGCTACCTCCTTAAAGCGGTTACATACTGAATATGGGGCATAATTTTAAATTATGTCTGCATTTTCACATCTTACAGCTGTTCACTATGGATGACCCTACTGATATTTGAAATAACAGTGGCATAGCTTTCAGCATCACAGGAACATACAAGCCATCACAGTATGACAGACAAGTGATAAACAATGGGATTAAAATTATATATTAATATATTTAAAAAATATATTTTGATAAATTGCCTTTGAAAATGGTTATGTAAAAAAAATACTTACACAAATTTGCAAGGCCATCAGCAATACCTTACATTTTATAATGTAATACTTTGTGGCCTACTGTTTTAAGTCCATAAATTTATGTCCTACTTTTATCCCTTTTAACTATACATTCAAGAGTAGAGTGTAGCCTGCTGACTATCTGCTGCCTATCGATTCTACTCACTACGACTACAGGTCTTCCTCTTCTGGGATACCCATGCTCCTACCCTACCCATTTGGCTTTTTGGGGTAACTACGCAACACTCAGGGCAGTGGTTAAAGCGCCTGACTACTAATTCAAAGGTCAGAACCCGCCAGGTGATCCATAGAATTAAGATGTGGCAGTTCGCTCCTGTAAAGATTACAGGACTAAATGGTGCCCGGCTACCACTGTCAACCACTCAGAGGGGGATCAGTGCAGGAGATCCTGGATAAAGTGGGAGAACAATGTGGAACAAAATTCAAAACAACAAACATAAAAAAGACCAGTTTTGCTGGTCTGATAGAGCTTGGTGAGACCCCTGAGACTATAGCCCTTAGTTACCCTTCAGGTCTGGAACTGAACTCACTCATGTGGCTTCCAGCCAAATAACATGTATATGGTGACTTTTACATCAGGTAGATACACTCCTTGGAGCTCAATCGTGAGAGAAGGGCAGTGTTTTGCACAGGGAGCAGCTGGGGGTGGGGTAGTGCTTGGGCGGGAAGGACAAAGGGAAGAGGTAATTATGGGGAGAAAGTGGGAAGAGAGCTGTTACACCATAGGGAATTGCATTGTTTTAATGTCATGAAACAAAATGTTTATGAACTGCTGTATGGAAAATGAATTTGCTCTGTAAACTTTCACCCAAATCACAATAAAAACTTTTAAAAAATAAGAAAAAGATTACAGCCTTGAAAAACACTTATGGGGCAATCCCTGCAGGGTTGCCATCACAATGACTTGATGATAATGGTTTGGTTTCATTTGCTTGTTTGTTTTTCACCCAGAATGACTTAATGAGGAGTTTCGCTTGTTTTTTGTAAACTCTCTACACTAGGTTCAAATTCTCCCTCCATGATGCCTTCCCTGACTACCGTGCTCCTAGTGCTTTCCCTGCTCTAAATTCCTTGGCTCCTTCATATACCCACATCCTTTATCCCTCACTCAACCCATTACATGTATCTTGTTACTTCACATGTAAGATGTGAAAATGCAAAGACGTAATTTAAAATTATGCCCCATACTCAGTATGTAACCGCTTTAAGGAGGTAGCCATTAGTACAAGAAACTTTAGCACGTACTGCATGCTTCAGTTACTAGAAAAACTGCAAAGACTACCCTTCCCCCCGTTTCCCCTCAGTAACAACCAATCAGCAAATGACAGAAAAGTACAAAGCTTAAAGTAACCGTTGCAGCCTCAGGCCACTAGACAAAACCAATCAAGAAAAACAACTAGCAACTTGAAAGATGTCAACCAATCCTGTAATTTTCTAATTAAGACTTCCTCATTTCTATAAAAACCCCATTACCCCTGAGTTCGGGGCTCTCAATGCTAAACCGCTATGTTGGTGACGGTTGAGGGTCCGAGCTCGAGCTTGAATAAACAACCCCTATGCTTTTGCAGTGGAATCGGCTCCTTGATGATTTTTGGGGATTCAAGATCTGGGCACAACACACACTTGTCAGATGTCCACCATTCTCATGTTCTGAATTCTTATCTCATCTCCCCAAATAGTCTACAACAGTGGTTCTCAGAAGAAGATAGTCCCCAGAACAGCAGCATCTGCAACACCTGGACCATAATTAGAAACGTAAATTCTTTGGCCCCACCCCAGACCTACTGAATCAGAAACTGACAACAGGATCCAACCCTTTGTATTTTAACAAGTCCTCCAAGCAATTCTGATGCATGTTAAAGTTTAAGAACCACTGGTCTATAAATGGTTTAAGGGTAAGTATACAATGGTGCCACTCACACACAGTACATTCCTTAAGACTTGATTAACTGATTTTAATTATATTACTAGCTAATGCTCTGGGAGGAGTTCTGGTGGTGTAGTGCCTAAGGCATTTGACCACTAACCAGAAGGCTGGTTATTCAAAACCACCAGCCACTCCTTAGAAGGAAGGTTGGGCAATCTACTTCCATAGTGATGCTACCTCAGAAACCCAAGGAAGGGTCTTTATGAGTCAGATCCAACTTGATAACAGTGCATTTTTGTCTTTAATGCTCTGGTGGTGTAGTGCCTAAGGCATTTGACTGCTAACCAGAAGGCTGGGGGTTCAAACCCACCAGCCACTCCTCAGAAGGAAGACTGGGCAATCTACTTCCTTAGTGATACTGCCTTGGAAACCCAAGGAGAGCTCACAAAGAGATCTGACTCAAGAGCAGTGAGTTTGGTTTTGGTTACTGTCAACTGAATGCCTACTATGTTCTCAGAAATACAGTTAGTGTACAATTCACGTGCATCCTTTTTTTATGTTCCTTGCAATAATCCCATGGGGTATTAACCATTAGTATTCCTAATTTGCAGATGAGTAAACTGAGGCCCATGGATGTTGTTGTTGTTGTTATGTGCCATCGAGTCGGCCCCGACTCATAGCGACCCCTCCTTGGGTTTCCGAGGCAGTATCACTACAGAAGTAGATTGCCCCATCTTCCTTCCGAGGAGTGGCTGGTGGGTTTGAACTGCCAGCCTTCTGGTTAGCAGTCAAGTGCCTTAGGCATTATGCTACCAGAGCTCCCTGAGGCCCACGGATAGATTAACTAAAATATCCTAAGTTTAAACAACTAGTTCAAGTATGAATGTTAGAGCCAGGATTAAAACACAAGCAGTGGGACTCCAGTGCCTTTCTCTTAATTACTATGCTGTATTGTCCCTGATTCTACGGTGAGTGTATAGGCATCTAGACTTTTCTATACTTGTTGCTTTTAAACCAGCAGCTAATATAAGAAAAATAGACCCTTCCTGCTCTGGATGATGACGGTGGACAGAAACAGTAGGATAATCTCTGTAGCTTCATGTTTTTCAAAAAGTTTTTACATACTTCAACTGTCTAGAGGAGAGGTTATTTACTGGGGTCCCATAAATAAGCAACAGGGAATTTGAAACCCCTGAAATTGTGTGTGAAAATATGTGTGTATGTGTCCAGATTTTTATAGTTCTCCTCAAATTATCTAAGAAACTATTGACCCAAAATTATTACTAACCACTGCTCTTGGGTCTGTGGTCATAGAACTAGAAAGAACATTAAACTTACTGCCATGAAGTCAATTCTGACTCATAGTGACTCCCACTGGGTTTCCAGGGCTGTAAATCTTTACAGAAGCAGATTGTCTCATCTCTCTTCCCCAGAGTGGCTGGTGGATTTGAACCACCGACCTTTTGGTTAGCAGCCAAATGCCTTAACTACTACACCACCAAACCTCCTAAAAAGAGCATTAAAAGAAACTCAAACTCACTGCCATTGAGTTGGATCCGACTCATAGCGACCCCTCCTTGAGTTCCTGAGGTGGTATCACTACAGAAATAGATTGCCCAACCTTCCTTCCCAGGAGTGGCTGGTGGGTTTGAACTGCCAGCCTTCTGGTTAGCAGTCAAATGCCTTAGGCACTACACCACCAGAGCTCCCAAAATGAGGATTAGGGGATGCAAAACTTGGCCTGGGATAGGTGCCAAACAGGCTGCATTAGAATCGCATAATCCTTTACCTGAACTGGACCTTGGAATCTGTATGTTTCAGTGCCTCCAATGATTCCGATGCACACACAGATTTTAGAATCAGTGTTCTGGTCCAGTGGTTCTCCAGAGTACATCAGAATTCCCAGCAGAGCTTGCTAAAACTCAAACAGCTGGGCCCCATCCTTAGTATTCCTGATTAAAGATGTCTAGAGCAAAGCCTGATAATTTACAAAAGTTCCCAAGTGATACTGATGCTGTTGGTCCTGGGCCCACACTTCAAGAACCACTCTCCTAGCTCAAACTCCATAGTAAAGATGAATAAATTGAGGCCTGGAAGGAGTTGATAGATTTTTCTAACATGAGCTTTCTTAGAAATAAATAAAATGTTTCTTACCTGTTTCTGGCAGCATCAAGGAATCTACTTTTTTGCTTTCAGATTATTGCAAATATAACTATATAAAACTGAACTCGAGAGAAATTATGCTTTTCCATAGAGTGAAATCATCCGACATCAAGGCTATCCCTATGAGGAGTATGAAGTTGCAACTGAAGATGGGTATATCCTTTCTCTTAACAGAATTCCTCAAGGCCTAGTGCAACTTAAGAAAACAGGTATGATTCACCCTATGTCATGCCAACAAGGCAGTCTTCCCTTGCAGCAGTGATTTCTTTGTGATTTGTGTGGAGAGAAGAGTCTGGGTTCTTGGTATAGGCTGGGGCCCAGTATTGGGGCCAGCGAATGGCTTCAGTTTTCCCTTAATTCCCATCACCAACACCCACACCCCTGTTAATTATCTCAAATGTCATAAAGTATTTGCTTCTCAAAAACACCTTCAAGAACCCATTCCTTGCTTCCCTGCTAGCACTTAGCCCTCACCCTTGATCTCTCCTAGATAAATATCTAGGACAACCACTGATGGAGTCCCTTAAACAGCTCACATCAGCCCCTGCCCATGAAGAACCAAACTCTAACGTGGCCTCTAGTGCTCACCCTGAACACGCCTGTATTCCTAATTCAAATAGTTCTTTAAATATTTACAATGTTGCCTGTTGTTGTTGTTGTTATGTGCCGTCGAGTCAGCCCCAACCCATAGCGACTAATGGATTTTTAAGAGCCAGAATCTTCAATTTTTGCTACTTGTTCCCATAATTCATATAACTTTAATTTTTTTATATTGAATTTTCAGCTACTGCTGTCCTTCTAAATAAACCACCTTCCTCACCATCCTCCATTTCTACATTGATGCTCTATTCCTTTTAATACTCTAGCTCTACATTTATAGCGGCAAATAAGGTAATCACAGACATTTAATTTTTTCTCATGTTCTTTCTATATGCCAGGTATTATACTGAGTGCTTTATTTGCATTAGTGTCATTTAACTTTCATAATAAGTCTGTGAAGAAACTGCCACTCACAGAGGTTAAGTAACTTACCAGAAAGTATGTGCTAATACTTGGTTGTTGTTGTTGTTGTTATGTGCCGTCGAGTCAAACCCGACTCATAGCGACCCCTCCTTGGGTTTCCGAGGCAGTATCACTACAGAAGTAGGATTGCCCAACCTTCCTTCCGAGGAGTGGCTGGTGGGTTTGAACCACCAGCCGTCTGGTTAGCAGGCAAGTGTCTTAGCCACTGTGCTACCAGAGCTCCCAGTACTTGGTAGTATGTGGCAACACCTGCAATCAAATCCAGATCTGTCGGCCACTACAACCCATGTTCTTAATTTATGACCAGAAAATCCGGGCAGATGTATGCTATTGCAATTTGGTTGTAAAGAAGCTTCAGGATTCTAGTTTATCCCAATTTATTCTTGGGCAGCTTTATGGAAAAAAAAAAAACCTGTTTGTGTGTACACCAGCTGCACACGTTTGGGATGCTTCCACTGTGCTGCCCTTGAACTTGGAATTCCTCATCTGAACTGCTGTTTCAACAGACACCAGCATGTCTTGCCCAGACCCTTCTTTTGAGCTTACTCTGTGAGTGGTCCTTCCTCAACCACCCTATTCAAAAAGGCAACCTGACTTCTTGAGATCTAACATGTTACCCTGCTTAAGTCTTAGTACTAATCGCCTTCTGATATGATAGGTATTTGCTTGCTTGTTTGTCTGTCTCTCCTGACTAGAATGTAACTCAGCAGTAGCAGGGACTTCCCATTTTTGTTTAAGGCTATATTCAGTGCCTAAAAGAGTGCCTAGTACGTTTTTCCAGTTGTTGTCAATTCTGACTCATGATGACTCATGTGAGTAAGAATAGGACTGTGCTCAGTGGGGTTTTCAATGACTGATTTTTCAGAAGTAGATTTGTCAGGTCTTTCTTCTAATATGGCTGTGGGTAAATTCAAACCCCCAATCCAACCTTTCAGTGAGCAGCTGAGCATAGTAACCATTTATACCACCTAGGAGCTCTGGTGGCCTGGTGCCTAAGGCATTTGACTGCCAGCCAGAAGGCTGGCAGTTCAAACCCACCAGCCACTTCTCGGAAGGAAGGTTGGGCAATCTGCTTCCGTAGTGATACCACCTCGGAAACCCAAGGAGGGGTAGCGATGAGTGAGATCCAACTCAATGGCAGTGAGTTTGGTTTTAGATTCCGCCCCCCCGGACTCGTAGTACATACGATCAATGAATGAATTTTATGTAAACAAATGAATATCTTTGGGACACTGAGATAACTTTCCACTAAGCCCTACAAGGACCAGGAGGATGGACAAGCCATCAGCTCTTCCTTCCTTTCCTCTCCATGCCAGCCAAGCAGTCTCCATCCCAGCCAAGCAGTCCAGTGACTGCAGCAGTTCCTAAGCATCGAGTCACCTGTAACCACTTTCTTGAACGCAGCTTATTTTCTCACATCCTTTTACTTAAACTGTTGACTGCTTACACCGGAGTTTGGTGTTCAAAGACTCAGCCCTCTTCGTGCAGAACGACCCCCCTCTAGTGGCTGATGATGTTCCTGCAGTCCCATGCACCCCACCCAAGGGGGAAATGAGCCAGCACTGAAGGAAAAAGGAAGTTTTATCATTCATTCAAAAAAAACGATCGATCAAACTCATGCTGAAAACAAGTCCTAAACACTGAAAACTGACTATAATATAAGCTTGTTATGATAGCCTTTTTGTCTTACTTCATTAAATAATCACGATTTTACATCAAGAAACAAAATTGTCTGAGGCATCGTCGAAAATGGCAGCATTTTAAAGTGTAGCACTTACACACTCGCCTGCTGGCTATAACTAGATGCGATCCACACACTATGATGTTTAACATGGTATGAATGAGCCGGTTACCTCACTGGGTGGACCAAAGATGCAAATAACCAAGCTGGGCCAGGCTGGTCCCAGCCATGAACATGTCCTAAGGATGCCACAGGGTGGCGCTGATCCTCTGGCAAAACTGGTGTTTTGACATCTGGTGTTGCCAAAACAGGGACCACCTCCCTGAGGGCTAACAGGATTAACTAGAAGACCAGCTATTAAGGAAGACCTAAAAGGAGCTCTGGTAGCATAGTGGCTAAAGCACTTGACAGCTAATCAGAAGGCTGGCGGTTCAAAACCACAGCTAATCAGAAGGCTGGCGGTTCAAAACCACCAGCCACTCCTCGGAAGGAAGGTTGGGCAATCCTACTTCCATACTACCTCGGAAACCCAAGGAGGGGTCAAGAAGCGGTCACTATGAGTCGGGGCCGACTTGATGGCACATAACAACAACAACAACAACAACAAAATAGCCCCACTGACTTCTTTCCTCCTGGTCCTGTGCTCATAGCCCTCATAGCCCTCAATGACCTACACATTTTTCTTCCCAGAGGGATAAAATAGCCCAGATCCAGATGAGTTTTGTAGAAAGATCTGTGTCCTACAAGTCTACTTGTAATTCAGAGGTTGATCTACTCCTTTATAATAATAATAAAGAGAGTTACAATCTAATAGAGTGTACAGCTGTCAGGTGGCATGCCAAAGGGTTGTTGTTGTTGTTAAGTGCCATCGAGTCGTTTCCAACTCATAGCGACCCCATGCACAGCAGAACGAAACACTGCCCAATCCCGCGCCAGCCCCACAAT